GGATATTTTTCATGATATATTATGATAGAAAAAAAATGAGGTGGATATTGATGAGAAACAAAATTATCTTGCAAATATATTATAGAAAACTTATTTTCTAACACTTATGACCTGTCACAAATCGCAGTAATATTTATTTTATATAATATACATATAACATATGTATTATTTACTAACGTTTTTAGTTCTTTATATAGAGTAACTATTTATAAATGAATACATAACTATTTATATGCTATTGTTATGGGATACATGTCAATTGATCGAACGAGAATTGCTCGAAAACTTTTGATCGAAAACCAATTGCTCGCAAACGACAATATTGATCGAAGAACAACTGTTCGCAAAAAAAAAAAAAATTGTTTGCTCAATAACGCGATAACCCGAATAAGTAATATAATCATTATACCTTTTAATAATAGACCGATCCACTTCATGTTTTTACCGAGTCACATGGATAATAATTTTATACCGTACGTTTACTTGGTGCACTTTGTACTAAGATATAAAGATAATATTGGATTCAACCACGATARTAATTTTTTATCGTACGTCGACGTGGTGCATGGTAAATCCGAGACAATTATCGTTTCAATATTATAGTGTACTTACTTCAAACAATTTTGACACGTTTTAAGTTTTGCCATCATGAGTTTGGTGTATGTAAACAGTGAAAAAAATAAAATAAAGTTAGAATATAAAGAGTTTTTACATGCACAAGAAAAAATGTATAATGAAAAAGTGTATTAGAAATACTCCGAAAGTAAAAACTGAAATGAAAAGGTCGAGTTCGTGTTGTTAATGAAAATAACGTGAAGTTCATCAAACATAATATTCATGTACCGAATGCAGCAAAAATTGAGGTTCAGATTGCTGTATCACATTTAAAAGAGATTTCTTCCCAAACTACACTTAGTTCATAACTATATTAATAGTGTATTATATACYTAATATAAATATAAAACAAAAATTTTTAAATTAATTAAAAATGTTTTTTTTATAATTATTTACCAAGTACTTTAGCTGCAGATATGCCAAGTCAAAGAAAAGAAGCTTCTCCATCTAATCCAAATAACTTTGATTTTACTGTTCCTGAGCAGTAWCGAAATACAAGTAACGTGAGTTATTTTTACATTATGACAGTGGCATAAATCTCCCGCGTATTTTGATTTATACAACCCAAACATTTTTTGGATTTTATGGAGAATTGTRAACATTGTTTCTGTGATGGAATGTTTTGGGTAGCTTCACCGATTTTTACGCAATTATACACAATTCATGATGGTATACGCTATTCAAATGTGGTTCCCAGTGTTTATGTATTGCTATACCTGATAAAAAAGAAGATACTTATCGTCGAATGTTTGATTCATTTAAAGTCATTAAAACCAAATTTAAATCCCAAAACTATAATGATTGATTATGAAAAAGCTACAATTAATTCAATTAAAACAGAATTTCTTAGTACTAAACTAAATGGGTAATGATTTTTTCATTTGTCGCGGTGTATGTGGCGATGGCGTAATGTTCTGGAATTTGGCTTTCAAAAAAAAAAAAATACAGCGAAGACTCTCAATTTGCATTGCAATTAAGAATGTTACTAGCTTTAGCATTTGTACCTAAGGATGATGTAATAAGTTMATATATAGTGTTGTAATTGAAAGTAATTACTATACAGAAAATGAARAAATATTAGAACAATTTTTAGACTATTTCGAAAATACCTGGTTAGACAAATTAGATAGATGAAGAAGACGAAAACAACTAAAAGTTGAAATTGAAATGTGGAACTGTTTTTTAAGAGTAGAACAAGATATAGCAACAACAAATAATTCCGTTAAAGGTTGGCATAACTGTTTTACATCAATCTTAAGTGGAAAACATCTATCAATATGGCGTTTTATTGAAACTTTAAAGGAAGAAGAAAGCATTAATCGACTCAAAATTGAGCTGCAGTATATATTTGCATATATCTGGCATAGAACCTCAGAAAAAATAATACCAAGATAGAGCTAAGATAATTAAAAAAATTTGCACTGATTATAACGATCTATTCATTTTAGATTATCTACGTGGAATAGCCTATAATTTTCAATTAAAAATTTAATTTTCAATTTTACGTATTTTTTAGCAATTTTAATTAACTTTATTTTTTAAATATAATATAAACAATTATGACTTTTTAATTTATAAAAAATAATATATCAATAATATAATGATAATATAATTTTTCGATAAATTGTCGTTTACGAGCAATTGTATTTCGATCAAAAGTTTTCGAGCAATTTTCTTGMGATCAATTGTTTTCAATAAATTAACGGGGTACCATTGTTATGTATTTATATATTAAACTAATAAAGACTACCAACACTTTTAATAATTTTTAAGTCATAATAAATATATGTAAATTAATTAGTGGCTTATTAATTATTCCTGTTATTAGACTCATAAATCGAATTACTTTAGGTAAAATCTATCAGATGGGAAACATTACATAAACTAACCTAAGAGTCAGGAATTCAATTGAATGTTTAAGACTTCAAGTACTTATTGTTTAACTTCACCTAATGATTAATACAACTATTAACCATAATAATTTACTAGCTGAAATATTCAGGAATAAATAAAACCAAAATGAAAAAATCATCTACAGTGGATATTTATAAATAACATTTTTTTCTTACGTGTACCAAGAGAAATAAACGAATACGTGGTTATGATTATATGCGAATTTATAGCATTTAACAGTGGAAAATTCCTTTGTCTGGTCTATTATTTAAACCTACCACTAATAATCAAAATCGGTTGAGTAGTTTTTGATTTCAGAAACCTCAAACCATACATTTTTTTTTTTGATTGGTACTAATTAGTAGTACGAAAAAATTTTATTGATAATATTGACAATGAAAAATATTGATATTAAGATATTCAAATGTTTTTTTTTAAATATTTATTGTTGTAAAAAAAAATTGTATATGCTATTTTAACATCCAAAAATAAATWAAAACATTTTAATGAAGTGTCTTTGAATTCGTATAATAAATGATTATAATTAAAACGAAGCCACGTTATCTGGTTTTGACTGTTTATGTACTCTCTTTGAAAAAAAAATAAAAAATAAAAAAAAATTTCAACGAAATCCCTTTTTACGTGGCTTCAGAAATATAAAGACCTGCCTAGTTAATTTATATACTTACCCCTTAATTTAATTACTGATATAAAATTGTGTAATAATTAATAACAAAATATAGAGATAAATGCACTAATTTAAAATTTAAAACACTGTATTCATAGTTAAATTATACTGAAAATATTAAAAAAACAATATTTGAAAAATAAAAATATCACCAACCAGTGGTCAAGGGGCTGAAGGTTATTTTGAATAAAAATAAATTTTATTTTTAAGTAAAAATKATTTATATATTACTATTTAATGTTTTTATAAATCTGATTTACGCTTAATAAATATAACTATTATTCGAACTAGTGTACCTACTACATATATATTAATTTTATCTTAAATCAATAAATCTACCGGTTTTAATTTAATTTTAAATCGTAATTATTTTTAATATTCAACTGTTACAAAAAAATGTAACTCTAAGAATGTTGAAAGCACTAAATGTTGTACTGTATTTATTTTTGAAACAATAAAATTAAATACGCCAACATTTCAGTTTAATGAAGTAAATATATTTAAATATATTTGAATATATTACTAAAGAATGTTTGGGCTCAAATGGATTGATGCAATGTTATTAAAATCGTTGTATTGATTCAATACTATCAACGTTAAAGTTGATGATCATATTAAAATCTTACCTTTATAATATTTTGCTTTGAATAATGCATRTATTGCATTTAAGAAAACAAAAATAATAATTAGAGTTGATTTGGTCAACTTAATTTGTATTTAATCGATGTTTTGACCAATTAGCCGTTCTCCAGTATTCATTATAACCTACAACGAAATAGTTTCGGATTTTTTTTTTTCAGAATATTTCGTTTTACCGTTATTAATTGTTGTTTTTTGCAAATAGTGTGGGATAAATTGTGGCCCATATCGAATGACATCCATGTATTACAGAAAYATAAAAATATACAAACAATAGTTTATATATAGCGTTACTTTTCGATTAGTGACAATAATATAAATTATATATATCATCTGCATGATCCAATGGTTGTGAATGGAATAATGTTTAAAATCTGTTTCCAGGTGATTCATTTTTACAAGGTGTCRAGATTTTTATTAGTTTAAATACAATAACAGCATATCGTTGATTTATTTCTCAATTTTCCATTATATTTAACAAATATTTACAAATCTATAATTAATAATAAAAACTGTAACGTATTAATATTCGAAACTTGTTAAGCTTGATGATCACAAAAAAAATAAAACAAATCTCACGATGGGCTTAACAATACTAAAACTGTATAAAAATTATCTGTGCAAGTTTTATTTTCCTTGAATTTGCTACTCTTGTTTATTATGATTTCCTTGAAAAATTACCAATTTAAAGCAAAATACATAATATTTAACCAATTATAGATATGCTGTTTGAAAACTTGTTCATAATTTAACTACTCTAAAAAACAAAACCTGTAAAATGTAAATCACAAAATAGTATGGTTAAGTCAAAGTTTTTCTATCCCCTATTAGTACAGAAAAAACCTCATAAATCAAACAGTTTGGGAACACTTTACGACACTTTTTTTGGAAAAAACAAAATTTCACTGTTAAAAGTGTATAAGTAATTAAAATAATAGAACAAACCAGTAGTCAATAATACTATACAGGCACGTTTTTAATACTAAAGTGCAATTATTTTGATTGATATATTATTCAACTCACATTCTTAAAAATAACAAATAAAGTAGGAATAACTTCATTATAGTAGTTGTGAATGACGTGATAGTTTTATTACAAATGTCATAGCTATTCATCGTATTCTGTTCATGTCATACAGTAGCAAACTTACGTTTCAATATTTCAGACAACAAAATATCTTATCTGACCCGATTGCCGAGCAAAAACCATGATAAAAACTACTTCAGCGAAGAAATTGTTTGCCCGAACCTATCCACATTGGCATTGTCCAGGAACGCCTTGGAGACAGTCGAACAATTTGTGATTGTATCCAATAAATTACGTATATTGTATTTGGTAATTTGATTGAAAACTCATATTATATTGGAATGCWCTAACACGAAACACGTTTTTGTTATAATAATGTCATCAGAGCTMCAACAAGATTGGTAAGCTAAATGGATTAGACAATTTACGAAAYCTGTCTCGTTTACACTTGCGTGGTAACCAGATATCGAACTTGGATGGTTTTACTGATAATTTGATGAATTTGTCGTACTTAAACTTAAGGTAATATTATACAATAGGTACACTCATTACTTAAATAAAATATTAAATTAATACATATCTAAAGATAAAGMTATCATCAAAAATATTACCTAAACAAAAACCAGTGCCTACAATAAATAATATTATGATATTATGTTGATGTAAATAATAACCATTGTAACTGGCCATATCGCCGAGGGTAAATTTTGTAAATGAATAAAAAAACAAAACAAAAAATTATGATACAAATATTTTTAATTTTATTTTTATTACATTATATTTTACTAAAAACGAATTGCGTTCTATAATACATTTTAATAACTTTAATACAGAGCCTAAAAACACGTTAATCCTTAATACACTAAGTATACCTACTCACTAAATATTAATATAATTTATSTAAATACATTATAATTTATTATACCTATACATTTAAACACACACGTACAAAATTGCACGAACAATTATTATTGATTAAACGTGTCATAATAATACTATTATCAGTCACTAACTTTCATTTAACGTTMAAAATAATATGCCAAATAATTTGAATTCACTGGGCTGTAAATTGTAATATTTCACATTATTTTGCGAAAACCTTAAGCAATAAACTGTAAGGTTTTAATCAAATTAAATCTATAAAATATATTATGTATATTATATTAGAATACGTCTTGATTAGATAAAGAAACGTAATAAGATGAAAATCCTTTATTTTAATGGTTTCTAGTCAATCATTCAAAAATAAACTAGCTCCAGACTTACTTTAAAAAAAAAAAATTCAATTTAAAAATCATTGAAATGCAATTATTGCGATTAGTAAAAAAAAACAAATMGTTACAAAAAACAATTAAATAAAACAAATGGCGTAGAAGCCCGTTAACTTTTTTACGACAAAACATTTCCATTAGTCCTTCTTCATCAGTTATCCAGATGATTCCCGATACTTCCAAACTAAATTTCAAAAGTTAAATTCAAAATAATAATATTCTATTTCATTAAACATCTGTATTTGCTCTGTTTGAAATAAGTGTTGTCAACATAATATTAACTATTGAATGGTTTTTGAAATAAATATTTAATAATATAATATTTGGGTAAAAATAATAAAGTGTTGGGTATTGCTATTTTGATTAGAATGTATAGGTACTTATTGTATTTGAATGAAACTAACAATATTATAATACTCTTA